AGAAAACTGACTTCGAATAGGGGCTGAAAACCTTGAGTATCTGCAGATGCATTTGTCAGAGGCATGAACCTATCTCACAGGAAAAAACAAAGTCCAGGCAGGTGCAGGGGCTGACAGGACCCTCCAGCTCTGATAGATGAAGACCCTGGGAAGGCAACCGGTTGCAAATGAAATGGTAATTGCTTTCCCCTCACTGAAGGAAATCTTCTCTGAGGCGATTACACAGATTAAAGCTTCCCACTGCAATGTACCAGAATAAATATAGCCTGTGCCTCTCGTGGGGGCCACTGCAGAGCAGCGTCGGGCTGCGGGGTGCCTCGTGCGAGGTATGGTGGGGTAGCTGGAGTCAAGAGTAGAAATCCTGTGAAAACAGGGCTGGAAGGACCTCAGGCTGTCTGATCATCTTTCCTCCCTCAAAGCAGGATAGAGTGTGCCCAGGTCGTTCCTGGTGGCGTGTGTCTGGCCGGTTCTGCCGGGGATGCGGGGACACGGGCTCCTGGGCCACCTCCTCCTGTGCATCTGCACGCTTACTGGGACAGGGCTTTTTCCCCAGTATCCAGCCTGGCTTCCTTGCTGTAACACATACCTTTAATTTCTCGTCATGGACATGGGGAATGAATTAATCTCTTCTTTGCAACAGATTTTTCTGTACTTTGAGGACTCTTGTCCTCCAAGCCTCCCCCTCCCCAAGGGAGCTCTGCAGTTCCCACAGCCCTTCCCCGTGCTCACGTTTCTTGCCTTGCTCCTGCTCCTCTTCTCAGGGGCTCCCTGGGTGGTCAGTGCCAGCCAGGGTGCCCCTTTCCCTGCTCCAGGGGAAGGAGGGTGCTCCTTCTGCCTTCTTCCCTCATGTACCCATCTCTGTGTGATGCTTCAGCTTTTTTCTACAACACAATACCCCTCCCTTTGATTGTGCTCAGCCTGTAGTCCACTCCACTGACAGCTGAATAGCACTGTGCAAATGACTTGATGCACCCCCAGCCATGCACTTTATGTGCTAAGTTAGACCATTGCCCTCAATAACAGGTACATTTTGCCAACTTGATAATGGGTAGTAGATGCCACTTTGACCGAGGTGCAAGGGAGACTTTGCCATGCCTACACAAAATCGTTTTATGTGCTTATCGCAGCATGATTTAACTACCTGGTGGTGTTAGTGTTGTTTGATTAGTTACGTGCTATATAATTCCAAGTACAGTGTGTGCATGGTAGTCGCATAACACAAATTAAAAATCTCTGAAGTACAGGAGTCATACATGCAAGAGTCATAGAGATTCTTTTCTACTCTAATTAGCTCCTTTCCAGAAGAAAAGAAAAAAGCATTAAAAAAATGCAGCTCATTTCAGTGTGTAGTAAAAGATAATGCGTTGTGTGGGCTTGGACGTGACGGAGTGCCGCATGACGGAGCATCGTGCTGGGTGGTACAAAGCTGTGTCTCTTTCTTGCAGCAGTTTGCTCCCATGGAGGGTCTGGCTTTTCTAGGGTCAATGGCAAACTGATGTGGGCAAGCGCAGGTACGGCGGGAGCGGGGTGCCCTCTCCCTCCCCTGCACCCAGCTCGTCCAGATCCCATCGGCGCAAGCTTGGGCTCCCCTCCCAGAGCTCAGCATCAGTCCGTGCCCAAGGGACGCAGGCTTGTGTCCTTGGCACAGCCCTGTGAAGGGGACTGCTCCTGCATGGGTTGTCATGTGAAATCATTTTGAGTTACGAGCACCTTGGGGCACAGGCTGGTGGGGTTTTTCATTACTTGCATTCTGCACCGAGCGGTACAGGGAGGCTGTGAGAGTCCAGTTATTGGCAGCAAAAATAAATCCTGGAGCTGATCTGGGTGTGAATGGGGCAAGGCAGGTCCCTGGGAAGCACAGGCTGCTGCAGAGGCATTTGCAACCAAAGGGATTTGAGTGAGCTGTAGGGGAGCACTTAGTAGCGCTTTGGATTGTGAAGGTGATCTCAGCACCATCACCTCCTATCAAATGAATCGGCAGGAAAAAAGTATTTCTCTGGCTCAGGGCTAGTTAGTTTAATTAAAGGTCTGTTGCTCTTGCCAGCAGTTCAGACAGAATTTGATGTAGTCAGCTAAGTTGGTTGCTTAAATGATGTAATGCCGTTATGCCTATTTTTCCTCAAGTCTAAATTTCTGTGGCATAAGTAACAGGATGAAATGATCTGTTGCTGTCTGCAGAAAGCTGATGAGAAACGAGTGGTGGAGGTGGTGGGGAAGAGACTTCGAACTGGCAGGGCATCTGCTGTGAGACCCGATGGTTTTGCTGCAAATTGCAAGGGCCAAGGACGTGCCAGCGATGCGCTCACCTCATGTGGCAGCCTCAATAAATGGCCGCCACAGGCTCAGCACCTGCTTATTAAACTGCGTTGAAGAAAATAACCTTGATGTCTAGTTCATCCACCCTCAGAGAACTGTAGTTTTGTATCTGGCTCTTTCTTTAAAGAATAAAAATCTATATTTATATCTTGGGGATGAATTTTCTCTAGGTTTTTGCATATCCAAAAGCCTCAATGACTTGAAGTGCTGGTTGTAATGATGGACTTTTCCTTCTCTCTCAACTGCTGGACCATAATGGGGGATGTAAATTAGTATGTTTAAAGTGGGATTTGTTCCTGTAAAGGTGCAATGATTGTGTAATTGCTGTCTGCTAAAAAAACAATGAAAAGAAGAGCAACTGTCTTTCCCTTGGTATAATGAATTTACAAGGCAAAAATAACCCTGAAGTATCACTCTGAAACAGACGTAGGCACAGCTGAACCCCAGGCTCTAGATGCAGTACTGTGTTTGAGCAAGGGTTATTAACTTTTTCAATCAAAATCTCTGTTTTGGAGATCCTGAGCTTCAAGGGGTCTGAAAACTGCAGGGGTGGCTGTAAGAAGCAGAAACCTGAGTGAGTAGGTTGCCCAACAAGGACTTTACAGGCTGCTCCCAAGATGATGTTTATGTGCATTTAGCTAGGAAGCAATAATCCTTTCTGGTTGCTTGTTACAGAGTTGTGCAAGTGAAGCTAGATATAGCAAAAAAAACCCAACCCAAACCAGCACCTTCTGATTTTAAGCCCCTGTTCTTCCATACCTGGAATTTTCTCATGGATCATCTTATGTTTCTTGTTGTATTATCTCCTGATTCTAAGCCCTTGTTTTTCCATACCTATACTTTTCTTGTGAATCATCTTATGTTTCCACTGGGGATAAAAATGCAGCCTCTGTGCCCCATCCCAAGGAGCTTGACAGTTGTTGGCAATAGTTTTTCCTGCAGTAGCTGCAAGAAATGCTGTGGTAGCCACCTGGTTCCTTCCAGCCTGTTCCCAAGGACTGTAACCATCTGCCACCTGGATACTGGACCAGAGGTAGGCTTGTTCCATTGCTGACACCTCGCTGACTGTTTGCACCGCTCCGGCTCCGATTTCCCATCCCAACTGGGATCCAGCCCTTCTTTGGAGCCTGTTGAACTTGAGTCCTGGCTGTTTTCTCATGCTCACAGCCACGATCATTTGTGTGGTACAGCTGCTGGGACTGACTTAATGCAGTTCTGTACTTATCAAAGGCGATCATTGAGATTGGAGGCTTTTTGGCTTCTCAGCTGCTGCTGCTGTCAGTATTTCCTATTAACACTAATGGAAATCACGCTCTGGCACAGCAGCACAACACCCCCTGCACGGTGCTCCGCTATCTGACAGCATGATGCTGCAGGATTCGCGGGAATGGAATCGTGGAGGTAATTCCTTCTGCGTCACACAGAGATTTTACTGCAACGGGTCTTGCTATCGCTTCCTACCTACTGTGCCAGCCTAAAGTGCTCTTATTTTCTTTCTTGGGAAGAGCCCATAAAGCCAAAGAGCGTGGTGGAGGTTAATGCTGGTTCTGCAGGCACCAAGAATAAGCAAGAAAAGTCTGTCTTGTTTTGAACTCCAGCCTTTGATGTGGTGCTTCAGAGGGTTTCTCTGTGGCCCTCCATAGCTACAGGGAACATTGGTCTCTGTTCAGCAGCATCCCCCAAGCAGGGAAAGCAGCCTGTGTTGCCCACCCAAATGTCAGCCCCATAGGCAACAGCATTTGTGCGCAGGCTTAGCAGAGAGCTCAGCTACCAGACCCATTCAGAAGTCTCCTTGGTCTTCCAAACAGGCTGGTGGGTGCCTTGCTCTTACTGACTCATGCTGGCCAGACTCTGCGTTGCTCAAGATAAAGGTCTTTATTCTATCATGCTCTTGCTGCATGTGTCTGTTTGCTGTTAGCCTGCAGTGTGGCAAAGGCATCTATCTCTGTGTGTCGTGTGTGTGGTTTGGTTTTTTTTTTTTCTTCCCCTGATGCTATCTTCAGTTTCTTTGCTTCTCCATTGTATCTGGATGAACTGGGAGTCTTTTTGCTTGCTTAAATCACATTTCTGTGAAAATTGTCTAAGGAATTAATCACAAAGCTCCATGGAAGATAAAGGAGCTAGCAAGTGCTGGGAGTTTTTCAAGCATGCTCTCCTGGAAGCACAAAAACAGTTCATCTCCTTTAAAGGTAGGGGAAGTAGGCAGAGCAAGAGACCCCCTTGGCTTAACTGTGAGCTTCTTAGTCTGCTCAAAACCAAAAGAGAAGCGTACCAGAGATGGAAAAGCAGATGAATACTGGTTGAGAACTGCAAGGGCATTGCTAGGGTGTGCAGAGATGCAGTTAGAAAAGGAAAACCTCAGCTCCCATTGAAATCGGCCAGAGATTTCAAAAACTACAAGAAAGGATTCTTCAGGTACGTAAACAACAAGCAGAAACAGAAGGAAAATATTGGCCTGCTGTTAAACAGGAGAGGTGAAGTAGTTACCAACAACACTGAAAAGGCAGAGGTTCTCAACACTTTCTTCACCTCTGTCTTTACCAGCACTGTTGGGCCCCAGGCCTTGGGAGCAAAAATCCAGGTTGATGCAAACACAAACCCACCGTCAGTGAAGACTGGCTACGTGAACTGGTGCAGGAGCTTGACCCATACAAATTGATGGGCCCTGACATTATCCGCCCAAGGGCGTTAAGAGAGCTGGCGTTGCAAGGCTGCTCTCCATAATCTTTGAGAAGTCATGGAGATCAGGGGATGTCCCAGAAGACTGGAAGAAGGCTAGTGTCACCCCCATCTACAAGAAGGGCTTACAGGACGACCCAGGAGATTATAGGCCCATCAGTCCTGGGAGGGTTATGGAACAAATCCTCCTGGGGGCTATCACAAGTCAAATGAAGCATGTGATTGGGAGAAGCCAGCATGGGTTCACCAAGGGCAAATGGTGCTTGACAAACCTGATTGCCTTCTACGACAAAGTAACCTGCTTGGTTGATGTGGAGCAAGCAGTGGACGTTGTCTACCTGGATTTCTCCAAGGCTTTTGATACAGTTTCCCACAGCTTCCTCCTAGAGAAACGGATGCGTTACGGTCTAGACAAGTTGTCTGTGCGGTGGGTGGGGAACTGGCTGGCGGGCCGCACCCAGAGGGTGGTGGTAAAGAGCTCCTTTTCAAACCGGCAACCTGTCACAAGTGGGGTCCCCCAGGGATCAATACTGGCCCCAACACTGTTTAATATCTTCATAAGTGATCTGGATGATGGGATCAACTGTACCCTGATGAAGTTTGCTGATCACACCCAACTGAGTGGGGAAGTGGACACTTCGGAAGGGAGAGCCACCCTGCAGGAAGGCCTGGATAGGCTGGAAGCGTGGGCTGACAAGAACCTTATGAAGTTCAGCAAGGACAAGTATAAGCTCTTGCACGTGGGAAAATATAATCCAGGAGTGCAGCACAGGCTGGGATCTACCCAGCTGGGGAGCAGCTCTATGGAAATGACCTGGGGGTCCCGGTGGACAACAAGCACAATACGAGTGAATGGTATGCTGCTGCGGCAAAGAAAGCCAGCAGGATGCTGGGTTGCATCAACAAGGGCATCACCAGCAGGGATAAAAAAGTTATTATCCCACCCTACTCAGTGCTTGTCAGGCCACACCTGGAATATGCTGTTCAGTTTTGGTCCCTGCTGTGCAAAAAAGATGTGGACAGGCTGGAGAGGGTCCAGAGAAGGGCCACGAAGATGATCAAAGGACTGGGAAGCCTGCCATGTGAGGAAAGGCTGAAAGAACTGGGTTTGTTCAGCCTTGAGAAAAGAAGGCTCAGGGGAGACCTTATCACCATGATCCAGTATTTAAAGGGTGGCTGTGAAGAAGATAGAGACTCTCTTTTTACAAGGAGTGACGTGGAAAAGATGAGGGATAATAGGTACAAGTTACTCCTGGGGAGATTCCGATTGGACACAAGAGGAAAATTTTTCACAATGAGAACAATCAGCCATTGGAGTAATCTCCCTAGGGAAGTGGTGGATTCCCCAGCATTGGATACTTTTAAGATTCAGCTGGACAAGGTGCTGGGTCATCTCGTCTAGACCATGCTTTTGTGAAGAAAGGTTGTACCAGATGATCCTTGAGCTCCCTTCCAACCTGGTATTCTACGATGTGATTCCGTGAAAATAGTATATGGTTTGAAAAGAAATAGTCACAGTGCAGAAGATTAAAGGAAATAAAAAGTTCATTTTGCCACCTAAATTTAAGGGGAGCTTAGGTGTTCCCCAGCAGATAGCATGGGAGAGAGAAGTGAAATTGCAAAGACAGACACATGTCAACCAGAAGGAGTGACTTGTGTCCAGGAGTGCTGCATTTGGGCTTAGGGAGATTTTCTCAGGCCGAAGACGTTGACTTTTGAGTCATTGAGGGGAAAAGTATCTTTTCCAGGACTGGAGCTGCCTGTTTGCTTCCTGACAGACAGTGATGCTGAAGTTCTCAGGTGACTTCTATTGCCAGCTTCTCTGGCTTTTCTTTCCAAGATTTCCTGTGGGGGAAAATTTGTTGCTGATTTTTTGTTGGCCACAGCATGCATAATCTCTGGTTTTCCAAGCCCGCAGCCAGGGTTTTGGCTGGAACCTGGCAGCTTTCTCTGCTGCGTGGGTCAAGCCAAGCGCGGAAGCTTGGCTAGGAATGAGTTGGAGGTGGAACAAAGTTTCACACCAGTTTGTCCTTCTCTTGTCAGTGTGGGCAGGATACTTGCCCACTCAAGTAACCATCACGTGTAGGTCTCTGAAGTTTGGAAACTGCAGACAAGGAGGGGCTGAAAGGCAAAGTAACGTTGGCATCATGGAAAAAAGCCCTGCCAGTGTGAAACCGCTGCCGCATGGAGAGGTGCGGGCTTGTTCGTACTGCTTCACAGGCACTTTCCCTTCGTGCACGCCCCAGCCTTGCCCAGCTTTCTGGACAAAACCTGCTTGGTCCCAGTTCAGCTTGGTCCCCTCTGCTTTATGGGGTTTTGAGGTCATGTCAGAGGAGCTGCACAAGCTAATGAAGCCGGTGCAGTGTTTTTTGGCAGCGCCTGCCTTTACCTGCACACCCCGAGGGCTCCCCGCTCCCTCCCCATCTCGCAGCGCGCCTCCTCCCTCTCCCAGCTGCCAGGGAAGCTTGCTGCCGTTATCCCAGAGGGGTGCGAAGGCATTTGTCTTCGAGACAACCGTCAATCAGGGACGCCTCCTCCTGAGCAGGCTGTGTGGGCCACTTCTGCAATATGTCGCCGGGCCGCGTGCCTAGGGAGAGGCGATTGCTGGCTGTGCCGGTGCCTGCCCATCAGTTAGCACTGGCAGCGAAACTCTGAGCTCTTCTCATTCAGATATTTTGGGGCATTTTCAGGTAAAGGACTGGATTCCCAGATCCTCAGTTCTGCAGCTTTTGTTTAAGCAATATTTAAGATTAGTATTTTTTCTTCCAGTTTCCACAGGTAGCAGTTATCTCTAATTCTTTGGCGTAGGCTGAGGCTTCTAATAGGAATGTTTGAGTTTAAAGAAAAAAAAAAAAAAGCAATCCATGCTGTAGGCTGAGGTAAGCTGAGTTGCTGGGACTGTGTGTGCATGTGCAGCGCAGCATGGGATCTGTTTTGTGGGATCCGAGCACATGGGGTCCTGTGGTCCAGCTGCCGCCAAGCTCCGGGATCTGCCACCTGCACAGACCTGCTTCCAGGACGTAGCCTGTTCCTCACACTTGCAGGGAGGAGGAAAACAAGAGTTGTGATTTGATGCGTTGTGCTCATTTTGGGAGTTTATTTTCCCACTTTTTGTGGTTTTGACTCTTATGGTTTCAGTGACCTCTTCCAGGGCTCCTGGGAGCAGAAATGAAGCTCCAGGGTAGAGAATGCTGTAGGCAAATTCTAGTACAGCTGCCTTTCATGAAGAATAATTTGATTTTGTCTTTTCCTCTTTCTGTATGCCCACGTGTCTTCTGCTCCTACAAACACTCCTCTGAAATTATATGCTTCAAATCTGCAATAGCTGTGTTTCTTTTTGCGGGGATTTCAACTTGTACTCTCAATGTGCAGACAAACTCATTACCAGATGTAGTAACAGGCGGTTCTTTCCTCCTGCCCTTTAGGACTGGCTTTTTCAGCCAGCAATAAGGTGGCATAAGAGACATAAGAGATCTGGATTTTGGGCTTGGACAGCATATTCTGGGAGTGTGTTTAAGAGGGTGTTTGCTGCATCTCTTACATCGCCTTCTGCTGCAGGTCGCTGCTCTTGTAGCATCAGCTTGCAGTTATTCTCATCCACATGCACACTACTTGCAGCAAGTGAGGAGGAGAGACAGCTCGTCCCATGGGAAGGGGATAGCAGGGACAGTAACCCTCCCAGCAGAAATGCCCAGAGCTCATCACTCAAAGCCCTTAGAAATATCCTGCCTCAAGCCCAAAGAAGAAGAATTACTCTCTTCTTTTTGAGACAGCCTTCAATATACTACGTTGCACGGGAACCTGTAAAACAGCTTGCTTTTAGCTTTAATTGAGACCATTTTTAATGTGTAGTTGTCATTTTTGGAAAGGATTTTTATGTAGGGCCATATGCAACTGTTGTGTTGAAAATTGCCAGACTTTAGGTAGTTAATATATAATACTAACATAATATTGGTTTAATAGGCTATACCAAGCTTGCTTTTTGCTGTATGTGTTAGAAAAGCTGAGTGTTTCCCACTAGCATCTCATCCTTGACCAAAAGAGGCACTACAGGCCATTGAAAGGCACCAAAAAATGTTCTGTTTATGTGGGTGTAGTGGGTTTTTTGGGGTTTTTTTTGTGGGTTTGTTTTTTTTTTTAACTTCCAGCTTACCAGTACTGTCTCTGTCCCCAGGCTGGATTGCAGATGGGTGCTGGGGAGGTGGGTTGGACGGGACCAGATTTAGCTGTGTTTGCTCTTTGTGACAGGAGCCAGCATGAGGTATTTTTGCAGCTGGGTCTTGCCACGTGGGGCTGCGTGGCTGGTTCTGGGTCACAGCAAGCAGCTTTGCGGGGTGTTATTTAGCTCTAATTAAACTTGGCAGGAGGTGAAAGGCAAAAGACAACCAGCATGCCAGCTGGAGGCACCAAGGGCAGAGGGATAGTCGCTTGGGGAGCTAGGATGTCCCTCTTGCCCCTGCCAGATGCCCCCAGAGACAGTTCCAAGCGCATGCTGGTTATGGCATTGCTTCTTCCACTCTACCAGTGGGTTTTCCTGTGGGGAAGGTCCTGGTGCCAAGCCATGCATGGCTGGGACACCTCACCCTGGGGGTACCTGTTCTTCCAGCAGTTCCCTTGCAGATCTCCCAGTGTTGCAAGGCTCAAACCTATCACTGCAGACTCCAGAACCCATCAGCCACCAAATGGCCTTTCTCTTATCTTAAAAACCATTATCAAACTCCACGCCTAATTTTACGCAAGCAGCTAATTTTCCTCTTTGCAGATGCCGGCATGGGACGTGCACACACGTTGTGTATGCACCATAGTGAATGTGATTTCCCTAGCTACATTTCATTTATATTTACAGCCCAAAGCTGAGAAAAGGCCATTGCTTCCTTCAGCCTCCCTTGCTGAGTGGATGTGCTCTGAGCCTGGAAATCTGAGCACTTGCTTGAGGTAAACTAGCCTCGGGGGATGTGTCCCCACGGGGCTCTCACCCTGTCTCTGTGGTGCCTCAGATAATTTGCAAGATTTGCCCCTTTCATTTTCAGCCTCCTGATATAAACTGGGTCCAAAGACTAGGGCTGAGGAGAAAAAACTGGGTAATTCTAACCATGCCTTTCCTTAAAATAAATAATACTAAATCACCCCAGTGGAACAGTGGTGTTGCAGATAATGTTCTCTAATGTGTTTGAAGGAGCAGATATTCTTTCTCAGCTATTTTGGGTACATACAAGCCACCATGCAAAGGTGTATTTCCATGTCTCTGCCTGGCAGTGGGGATGGAAAGTTGAAATGCTCTGTTTTCTTGGAGTAGTTTGCTGCTGCAGAACAAACTACCTTTTACCAAACTTTTTCTTCCAGCTCCAAACAAGATGCCCTTGTAAAATCTGAGATTACTCACTTTAGCAGGAAGTGTGAGGAGGAGGAGGAGGAGGTGCACTACAATTTGACACCTTTTCTCTCTTGTTTTTCTATCTAGAAACAAGTTCTGTTCTGGCTTGACTGATTGATTGAACCTTTTTCAAGTGCTGTCTGAAGGAGACAGCTTATCTTTTACTGGATCAGAGATGTGTTTGGCTCTTAAACAGATTTGCTTTAAAATCTGGGGTGTTTTCTTTCTTTTTGTTTGTTTCCTGGAAATTGTAGCACATGCACAGAATAAGGGAAAATTTTGAATGCAACAAGTTGTACCTAGGCAGAGGCCTGGCATGTAATAGGTCAGGTGTCTTGATGGGCTGCTTTGAAAATGTGTTTTCTT